AGCGCCCAGCTCAACCGGTTCGAGCGGGTTGCCGTAAGCGTCGACGGTTAACGTCCGGCCTCCTACACGATCGGTCTTTTCAAACACAGTAATGTTTACGGCAAGACCTTCGGCTTCGGCGAACTTTTGGAGGTAGTAGGCCGCGGAGGAACCACCGGCACCCGCTCCTGCATATCGTGTAAGTACTGGGTTCAACGGCGACGCGCTAAGGTCATGGACGAATCATCGGAGCTTCAAAACTTTTCATGAAGCAACGTTCACGTACCAATGATGGCCACTTGCTTCACGCCATTCTCGGTGACAACCTGCTCAAGCTCAGTCGCAGGAGCGGATTGTGTCAAGCTGAGCGCGGACAGCACAGCTGAGAGCTTGGACCCCCACATGATGTCGCGTTAGATTGAAGACTACAAATACCGAATCACAGAACTAGATGAAGATGATGAAAGAAGGGAGAGATGGGAATGACTGGTCAGAAAGAACTGTGTCAGCGGTACGTTTAAGTACGCTTGGAAGTTGAACAGGATGAAAGGAGAGCATGAAATAGATTCGTCATATGTGAGGTGTCTCCGGCGTGTCTCCGGGAGGTCCCCAAATGAATTAAACTCAGGGTGAGTAAACAAACCGCTGCTTTACTTTGGAAGCTCTGGAATCTAGTGCAGTTGAAGCTCGCCTTTGGTACGACCAACGGAGATGATGCAGCAAGAAACTGAACGGGAGGCGGTAAATCAGCCGTCCATAATACTCTCCTTTATTCTGTATATGAGTTTATCCAGTACAAGATGGTCTAAGTATGGATTCTGGATCTTGGTAGATAAGGCACTTGGCCTTTGCAACCACAGAAAAGATGTCACCGGCACAAGCTTGGGGTAAAGCAGCGGTGTATTCTTGGGGTGGAGGTTTCATTGCAGTGGTCCTCTAGGGGACCCCCAAGTCCCCACGTCCCGGTCTCCCGTTCTCAGCTTGCATCCGCCCCATCAGGAGGCTCTAACGACGCACGGTTCATCGAAGGGCGGGATTGCTGACAGATGCAACAGCCATTTGTACCTCACTAAGCATATATTCCGCTACGCATGCAGCTATGCATATAGAGAGAGTTAGTCAAGAATGGAGCACAGCAGGTGCCAGGCACCCAGCACCACCAAGCTGGCAATTAGTGAGCCAGCACCTTCTACCAGTGCCTGACCGCCTGCCACCTCGAGGCAGAAAAAAAGTCACCAGCAGAGTCCCGCATCTGAAGCTCCCGGGGCCAGGTCAATCTCGAGAACACTCCACGTCAGGTCGCTAATCCAATAACCTTACCGACTGATACCCCCTCACGAACCCCTCGACGACTTCAAGCCAACATGTCTGCGGCGCAACTGCTCAACCCCAAGGCCGAATCGAGGGTGCGCGACCCTTGTCCTGAGGATATTTGTTTGTATGCTAACGGCTAGTGCAGCGGCGGGGTGAAGCCCTGAAGGTCAACATCAGCGCTGGTGAAGGCCTCCAGGATGTCCTCAAGTCCAACCTCGGCCCTTTGGGCACCATCAAGATGTTAGTCTGTCGCTGTTCATCTCTTCAAATTAGATGCTAACATTAATAGGCTTGTCGATGGCTCCGGTCAAGTGCGAATAACTACCCCTCTTCCCCTGAATCCCCACCGCTAATGCGCCGCCGAACAGATCAAGTTGACAAAAGATGGAAACGTCCTCCTCCGCGAGATGCAAATTCAAAACCCTACTGCAGTCATGATCGCTAGAGCTGCGACGGCACAAGATGATATCTGCGGAGACGGCACGACATCAGCTGTCCTGTTGATCGGAGAGCTCCTCAAGCAGGCGGATCGGTATATCTCAGAAGGCCTGCACCCCAGAATTATCACGGATGGTTTCGAGATCGCCAAGAACGAGGCACTGAAGGTGGGTATCTATTGAACACGGACACTTGGATAGTGGTGCTGACGGGTGAACAGTTCCTTGACGGCTTCAAGCTCGAGAAGGAGGTCGACCGCGAGCTGCTTCTCTCCGTGGCCCGCACGTCGCTTTCCACCAAGCTCAACTCCAACCTTGCGGCCAAGCTCACCCCCGATATCGTCGATGCTGTTCTCGCCATCTACCAGGCGCCTGCCAAGCCGGATCTGCACATGGTCGAGATCATGAAGATGCAGCACCGGACCGCCTCCGACACCCAGTTGATCAAGGGTCTTGCCCTCGACCACGGCGCCCGCCACCCCGATATGCCCAAGCGCCTTGAGAACGCCTACATCCTGACGATGAACGTCAGCTTGGAGTACGAGAAGTCTGAGATCAACTCTGGATTCTTCTACTCTAGCGCAGAGCAGAGAGACAAGCTGGTGGAGAGCGAGCGTCGTTTCGTTGATGCTAAGCTGAAGAAGATTGTCGAGCTGAAGAAGGAGGTTTGCGGAAACGACCCCACCAAGAACTTCGTCATCATCAACCAGAAGGGCATTGATCCTCTTTCTCTCGACGTCCTGGCTAAGAACGGCATTCTCGCCCTTCGCCGTGCCAAGAGAAGAAACATGGAGAGACTGCAGCTCATCTGCGGTGGTGTTGCACAGAACAGTGTCGACGATCTGTCACCCGAGTCTCTGGGATGGGCTGGTCTTGTCTACGAGCAAACTCTGGGAGAGGAGAAGTACACCTTCATCGAGGAGGTCAAGGAGCCCAAGTCCGTCACCCTATTGATCAAGGGACCCAACGCACACACCATCACTCAGGTTACGGACGCTGTCCGTGACGGTCTGCGTAGTGTCTACAACATGATTGTGGACAAGAGCGTCGTCCCCGGTGCTGGTGCCTTCCAGGTTGCCTGCGCAGCACACCTCAAGAGCGACGCCTTCTCCAAGACGGTGAAGGGCAAGGCCAAGTGGGGTGTCGAGGCTTTCGCCGATGCTCTGCTGATTATTCCCAAGACTCTCGCTGCCAACGCCGGTCTCGACATCCAGGATGCTCGTAAGTGCACAGTATGCTTGCCTTTTAAAGGGATCCACTAACATGTCACAGTTGCTGCTATGCAAGATGAGCACGCGGATGGCAACATCGTTGGCTTGGACTTGGCAACGGGTGAGCCGATGGACGCAGAGCTCGAGGGTATCTTCGACTCCTTCAGAGTACTCAGAAACTGCATTGCCTCGAGTTCAAGCATTGCATCCAACCTGCTTCTGTGCGACGAACTCTTGAAGGCGAGACAGATGGGCAGAGCGGGAGGCCCTGGCCCTGGTATGGACGGCCCTGAGGAGTAAAGAGTTTGATGGATTCCAATGTAAAAAGTGTTGGCACGGTAGACAAAAGGCGTTGATCTTAGACCTGTCAAAGCTGAGAGCCGGAATGATATCCAACCATGAAGACAATACCTGCATTCCATTTCGTAAAGCGTGTCAACTCAGAGTGGTTGGGGCATGTCAGTTAGGGGCAGCTTGCATCGTTTGCTACCCCTCGCTGGAGGACAGCAGGCAAGGAGCGATAAGATAAGCCCCGCATCGAAATATTTCGAGAGCCAAAAAATCTTGACCCCACGTACCCAGCCCAACCCGTCAATCTCGAGGTTCATACCGATTTACAAAACCATGGCAGATTACGACAGTGATTCCTCCGAGCAGGAGTTCACCGAGACCAACGTACTTCTCGGTTACGCCAGCAAAGATGCCGATGATGACACCATCAGTCGTCTTGGCGGTCAACCAGTGAGTTCCTTTTGCCGCCGCGCATCGACAAACAGAGACGAGACGGATTTCCAGATTGACTGACACACGGTTGTTTTCTTGGGTAGGAATGGTTGAACCCCGAACAACCAGCCTCAGCAGCCCTGGCGCGCTGTAAAGTGTGCAACGAGATCATGGTCCAGCTTCTCCAACTCAACGGCGAGCTCCCCGAAAAGTTCCCCGGCCACGAGCGCCGCCTCTACGTCTTCGCCTGCCGCAAAGCCAGCTGCCGGCGCAAGCAGGGCAGCATCCGCGCCGTGAGAGGTATCAAGGTATCCAAGGAAGCCCAAGCAGCGGCAGCAAAGAAGGCGGAAGCGAAGCCTCAGAAGAAGGTGGAGGAGAAGGAGGAGCCTCAGAAGGACGTCAGCTCGGGACTGGGAACCGCGCTCTTTGGCGGCGGTTCCAGTGCGGCAAACCCATTCGGAGGCAACGCGAACCCTTTTAGCACGGGCGCCTCTTCAAGCAGCAGCCCCTTTGGCACCGCCGCCCCGTCGAGTCCGTTTGCTAAGCCTGCCGCCGCCGGTGAGCCCACACAAAAGAAGGAGGAGGCCAAGGACCCGGCCGAGTCCCTCCCCAAGACCTTTGCCGAGACTCTGAACCTCAACAACCCGCAAACGCCGTCCGGGCCGCCCCCGCCGCCGGAGCCGTGGCCCGCGGCCGACGCCCTGCCCAAGCCGTACCCGATTTCATACCTCGCGGACGCCGAGTTCGAGACGCTCGACCCGGAACCCATGCCCGTGCCGCAGAACGCACGGATGGAGGTGGACACCGAGGGCGGTAGCGGCGCTGGTGGAGGAGGCGACATGAAGGACGTCTTCGAGTCATCCATGGACGCGGCGTTTCAAAAGTTTGCGGACCGCATGGAGCAGAACCCGGAGCAGTGTATCCGCTACGAGTTCAACGGCACGCCGCTTCTGTATTCTAAGGCGGACGCCGTGGGCGCAAAGCTGGGCTCTGCTGCCGGCAGTGGTGGAATGACGCGATGCGGAAACTGTGGTGCTAGGCGCGTATTCGAGGTGCAGATGACGCCGCATGCCATCACCGAGCTCGAGGCGGAGGAGCTGTCGCTTGAGGGCATGGACTGGGGTACCATTATTGTCGGCGTTTGCGAGGCGGATTGTCAGCAGCGGGGTGTTGAGGTTGGTGAGGCTGGGTATCTCGAGGAATGGTGTGGTGTTCAGTGGGAGGAGCTTTCAAAGCGATGAGAAACTTATGTGCCTACACGATGATGATAAAAAGGGGCAGGCAGGGACAAAAGTTTTGCAGCACATCAAAATGATGAGAAAAAAAAAAGAAGCGTTTTACACGACATTTCAAACATTGTGGCATGTCTCATATTCAGGGATATACTCTATGGCCCCCGATTCCAAAGTCAAAAGTGAACGCCGGTAATTTTTGCCGCCATGCTCTCTTCCAGCCCTAACTCCATGAACGGAGCTATTAGCAGCCAAGGGTTGTGATATCAATCCTTGCGTCCCCTTCTTCTGTTCATCCTCACACCGAAGCCCAAGTCTGCGATTTTCTCTTCTTGTTTTTCAAAAAAGCAATTCTTTTTACGCAGTCTCCTCCCATGATCTCCGAAGAATTCTCGAGAACATGTCGACGTTGACGTCCTCCCTGATCTCAGACTTCTTGGCCTCGTTCTCAGCGTTCTTGGGGATGGTAACGACGCCGTTGTCGCCAACGGTCCAGCCGGCAACCTCGGTGACGAACTTTGCGGTAGCGTCGCCGTCGAGGCCGAGCCACGACTCGAGCTGGGACAGGCTGACCTCGCGGAAGGCCTGGGCGACCGAGTTGGCAATGTTGCTGCGGATAAGGTCCTCGAAGCCCGAGATGTCGGCAATGAGGTCGGCGCAGAGGTCGTCGCCGTCAATGGTGTTCCAGAAGCGGGCGTACTGGGAGCCCTCGAGCTGGCTGTTGAGGGTGCGCAGCTTGGCGACGGCCTCGTGGAGCTCGCCCTGGGCGATGGTGGAGGGGTTGATGAGGTGCAGGGCGAGGGTGAACTGCGGCGAGGGGAACTGGGTCATGGCCTTGACGAGGATGTTGGTGACGACCTCATCCTTGAGACGGTCGGGGTTGAGCTGGTACCTGGAAGGAGAGAAAGAAGACGAAAGTGGTCAGCTGTCGAGTTCCATGATGATGCAAGTTCGTATCCAAAGATTTGTCTCAATATTGAGTTGCGGTATCGTTCAGTTAACACCATGTGCTGACTTCAGTTGCGACTGAGGGGTTCATGACGGAACAACCAGTGCATGTCAGGTAATAGGAAACGTTTACACGATCATCATATAAACCGGCGCAAGACCAAGGAAAGGGGTCTGATGCCACCGACGTGTACAAAAAGAGACGCGTGGCGGTGGTCGGGAAGGTATATTGGAGGTTGCGACTCACAGCTTCAGGAGTGTCCGGTTCGCATTGCAATCGCAGTACTTCTGCTCGCACTGCTCCTGCAGGTAGGACTCGAGGTTGACGACAGCCTCAGGGTTGTACCGCTCGAGGCCATTGATGATGTTGACAATGTAGTCGGGCCGCTCGGGCGGATCTTCGCCGTTCAACATGATTGCTGGTTTGATGTGCGGCGTGGGGGGGTGTGAGAGGGTGGTTTTCGAGGTTCGGCGGGTTAGGAGAGGTATCGTGGAGGGGAAGGAAGAAATCGGTGCCGCTGGTGGGGCTTGGGCCGCCCTGGCGAAAGATTTCCAAAAGTTCGAGTGTGTTGTTGTGTGGAAGTCGCTTGGGTCGTCAAATGAGGTTTAGCGCCGGAGGAAGGGGAAAGGTGTGGCCGTTTCTCCACCATCGGTGGCCTGGGAGACCTTACCTAAGATAATGGATTCGAGGGTTCTGCTGACTAAGGTAGTGAGCTACAGGGGTGGCTGGGAAGGTGCACGTACCCTGTTGTTTGGTTTGCAGGCAGCAGCGTCATTGATTGAGACGGTTACAGGGGTGAGCTAAGGTATCTCAGCGGACAGCTCGGTGATGAACTAACAACATTGATGGATGGAAAGAGACAGAAGTAAAATTCAACCGGGCAGTTCGTGATGATAGCACGAAGTTTCAGTTGCATCTGGTCTCACTAGAATCAGCATCCGAAGCTTTTCACGCACTAAGCTGCTGCATTGAACATCATCATCGCCATGCCCAGCCCAAGTAAGAAGAGGAAACTGAACGATCAGTCGTCAACCGGAGTGCCTTCGAGAGGTTTGGAATACTTTTTTTCTAAGCAGAAGCAAAACGGCACATCGTCACCGAAACCCACAACGGAACCTGCTCCTGAAGCCATACCAAATGGCACGGGATCCGCCGACCAGCAGCCGGAGTTGACGGATGAGGAGCTTGCCAGGAAGCTGCAAGCGGAATGGGATGCTGAGGTGCAGAATGAAAGAGCAGAATCCACGCCCTGTCCTGAGCCAGCAAAGGACCCAAGTCCACGGCTAAATGAGACCAATGGAGAGGAAGCTACCGGGACAAAGCCTGGACCGCACAGGTCGCTCACATCCTCAGTTCTCCCAATTGTCACGCCAAAGACGAAGACGCTTTCACTATCCTCAGTGGCAAATGCTGAAGACACGGTCTCAGCAACCATTCCTCTGGACCAAAGTCCACTAACATTTGACCCTTCAGAATACGTCCCCCAATTGAAGGAATCATGGGCAGCCGAGGGAGGGCACGCTTCATACGCCTTCCTCACCAGATGCTTCATCTTGGTATCCGCTACACAAAGCCGGATCAAGATCGTGGACACTCTAGTCAACTGTATCAGAGTACTGATTGAAGCTGACCCGGAGAGCCTACTGCCTGCGGTCTGGCTTGCAACTAATTCCATCTCGCCCCCTTACATCTCCCTGGAGCTCGGTTTGGGAGGATCAGCGATTTCCAAGGCACTAAAGCAGGTGTGCGGATTAGATGGTCGCTCTCTGAAGACACTTTATGACAAGCACGGTGATGCTGGGGACGTTGCATTCGAGGCCAAAAAGAAGCAAAGCTTTACTCTGCGGAAACCGAAACCCTTGACCATCAAGGCTGTCTACCAGTCACTTGTCAAGATCGCCAACAGCCAAGGTCAAGGAAGCGGCGAAGCAAAACAGAGAATCGTCGATCGTCTGTTACAAGATGCCCGCGGTGGTGAAGAGAGTAGGTTCATTGTACGAACATTGTGCCAACATGTAAGTTCTGATTTTGTAATATTTTCTTGCGGAGTGCCTAACATCGGCAGCTACGTATTGGTGCTGTCAAAACCACCATGTTGATTGCCCTTTCAAGAGCCTTCCTCCTATCCCGACCTCCGGGGGCTGAGTTCCCACTGCGATCAGTCAAAGACCTTCAAAAGCTAAAGAAGGAAGAGCTCGCTGAAGTATGGAGCAGACCAGAGGAAGTACTAAAGGCCTGCTTTGCGCGACGCCCCAACTACAACGACCTCGTACCCGTCTTGTTGGAGATTGGCGTCTGCGACGAGCTATTACTGCGTTGTGATTTGACGCTACACATACCACTCCGGCCCATGTTGGGAAGCATCACGAGAGACCTTTCCGAGATGCTCACGAAACTCCAGGGCAGAGACTTTGCTTGCGAGTTCAAGTACGACGGCCAAAGAGCTCAGATTCACTGCGATGAAAGCGGCAAGATTTCCATCTTCTCTAGACACCTCGAACTCATGACGGACAAGTACCCCGACTTGGTCGCGTTGATGCCCAAGGTTCGCGGCGAAGGCGTCAACAGCTTCATCATGGAAGGCGAAGTGGTGGCCGTGGACAGCGAGACGGGAGATTTGAAGAATTTCCAGACGCTGAGTAACCGAGCGCGAAAAGATGTCGCTATCGGCAGCGTGCAAGTCAACGTCTGCATGTTCGCCTTTGACCTCATGTTCCTCAACGGACAACCTCTACTGAACCGGCCGTTTCGAGAAAGAAGAGAGCTCCTGCGGTCCATGTTCATTGAAGTTCCCCGACAATTCACCTGGGTGAAGAGCCTGGATGCCACGTCACAAGATTCGGATGCTGTATTGGATTTTTTCAAGGCGGCAACTGATATCAAGTGCGAAGGCATCATGGTCAAAATCTTGGACAACTTGACCGATGTCCCCTACCAAGGTGACGGCGCAGTGGATGCTGACGGTGAGGTTGCTGAGGAACCCAGAACACCTTCAAAGTCAAAATCACGAAGCAAAGGCACCAAGGATGAGGAGGGCGCTCCGAAGAAGAAGGGCAGACGCAAGCCTCTCCTAGCCACATACGAGCCCGATAAACGATTAGACTCGTGGCTGAAGGTCAAGAAGGACTACAACGCAAGCTTTGAGACGCTGGACATGATCCCGGTAGCCGCATGGCACGGACAAGGCCGCAAGTCCAAATGGTGGTCGCCGATCCTCATGGCCGTCCGCAACGAGGACAGCGGCGCCCTCGAGGTCGTGTGCAAGTGCATGTCGGGCTTTACCGACGCCTTCTACAAGGCCAACAGGGAACACTACGATGATGGCGAGCTTGCCGAGAGGCAGAACACGCGAACCCGGAAGCCGGCGTTTGTCGAGTACTCTGGTCCCGAGCCTGACGTGTGGTTCGAGCCCCAGGAGGTGTGGGAGATGGCGTTTGCGGACATCACTCTGAGTCCGACGTACACCGCCGCTATTGGGCTCGTCAGCGACGAGCGTGGTCTGAGCTTGCGGTTCCCTCGATTTCTGAAGAAGCGCGAGGATAAGAGCATGGACGAGGCGAGTACGAATGAGTTTCTTGCTGGTTTGTGGAGGAAGCAGGAGGCGAAGGCGCCGACGAAGGAAGGGCAGGCCGATGTTATGGACGAATTTGAGGAGTAAGACCAGATCCGTAGTCGAGGGGTTGATTCGCAATCTTGCCTTGATGTTACGATGGAGTTGAGCATATCAGTGTGCTTCACTAACCATGGGATTGGCGGGAAATCACGATTTGGAGGGGTCCTCGGAGCCGATGTCTTCTCCTGGTGACGTTCGGAGATAACTCCAGCGGCTTGCCTATTCGCTTTTCTGGCTGCTTGGCACTGTCAAATGACCAGAGGATCCAGGGTAGAGGAGTCGATGTTGTTGACAGCGACAAGAAGTCTAAATATGAACAAGCAAACCACAATTATTATTTCTTCAGATACCCAGCAGCTCTTGGCCAAACTCGGGCGTGAGAATCCCGTAACACATCAGATTATCTAACCGAGTCTTTTCGAGTCCATCCCGCATGGGCCGGTGAGATAATGTCTTCATATGACAAGGCCACCCAGCCCGAGGCGTACCCGTTGAAGAGGACTGCTCATTGTCCGAATAATGACCTCCCAGTCCTCATATATCGTGACGTTCTCCAGTCACTCAACGAGGACAGTGCATCAGAAAGACTTCAGCGTCACGGTTGGGAGAAAAAGGTAAGAATGCTGACTTACCGAGTCTTCAAATCTGCAATCGACTGTGTTACTGAAATAAACCTTTAGGGAACTTGGGGCACTATCAGCCTGAAGCACTTTCACCCAAATACTCATGAGTGTTACGGCAGGTCCATTGATCCCCTTGAATCGTTCAATCAAATAACCCATGAAGCAGGCGTCTTTCAAGGCAGCTCCGAGCTAGTCTTTGGCGAAGGGGTCTCGGATGAAATCGGCAGCGGAGTACGATGTGTAGTGCGAGCCGGCGATGTCGTCGTCGTTCCAGCAGGCGTAGGGCATGCCTCTGTCTCAAAGGCGGAGGGAGCAGCGGATCCTGTTGAGGGGGAGCCCGAGTATCGATACGTTGGAGTGTATCCTAGAGGTTCGCCTCATTACAAATACGAAATCGGCAAGAAGACGTTGGAGGAGAAGAGCGGGCTGATAGCAGAGGTTTCTGCCGTTCCCGTACCGCCCAATGATCCCCTATACGGGCTTGATGGGCCGTTGGTGAGGATTTGGAATAACTCAAGAGGGACATTTACGTCTGTTGGGTAGGCACTCAAAGAGAGCAACTCATGATGATGGAGTATAATTACGATCTGAGATGGACGTGGAGAAGGAGGTTTCCGCATTGGCCAGGGGTACTATCAGCAGCCGTTCCCTGCAAAGCAGAGGATCAAACAATATTCATTGATATCAGTGACCTGTGTCAAGGAGCCTGGCGCGGCGCTTTTTCGCACCGCATTGCCTACCACTATAGTAGCAATTGCACATCTTCCACATCTTCGTTGTGCCTTCAGGTGACTCATCACTCTCATATCATGCTCGTATCCTCGCTCCAGCAACGGCTAAGAGTCTCAGTCAGTCGTGCGCCGGCCGTACCAGGGTCTGACCCTGTCCTCAATGAGCATCACTTTCCCAGTTGCCGTTGGAAGAAGTCGCCCGCATGTGTTCAACTTCGTCCTTGCAAGCGCGAATTCCCTGTCATCCTGCGGGATATGTCTCGCAAGGCTAATCTCTTCGTTGGCCTATGACTCTGTTGCGGATGGCATTGTTGCGGGGCGCATCATCTTGGACCGCAGAGCTCTGACGCAGGCTTTGCGAACCTCTGGATATCCAACGCGGTAGGCAGTCGTCGAGAAGCTCGGCAACTTTGGTTCAATCTAATGAACACTATTGACTAATTGTTTTGATTCATTTCACAGCATTCATCCTCTGAGCAATCAAGCTAAAGATAGTCACAGAGCTCATAAAGAGGACTGCGTTGTAGAACTGCACGACTGGTAAGTTTAGAGACACCATAGAGCTGTTTGACGCCGACTCACTGCTTTCCTAGACACTTCTCGCTCTTCATCATCCGTTCTTGCCTCGATGAACAAACGACGCAGGTTGGGCAATGTGGCCTTAGAGAGACTTGTCAGATGCCTGTCATTCACTAGATGAACGGAAATGGCTTACCATGGTGATTTAGTGGTTCTTATTATTGGCAGTGTTTCAGATCGCGGGCCTGAGCCGGATTTCTTAGTAACTTTTGTTTTCTGAAAGAGATATAAGCTTCGTAATGCCGTGGAGGAGCCGGAGAAAACTAACCAAACGTGAGGTCAAGGGCAGCAAATGGAAATGGCGATGTTGCAATGAGCTCATCAATGTTTACTCGCCTTAGAGCTTGGTACCTTGTACCTCTATAAAAGAGTTTCCGATAAAACGACAGGCCCGGTAGTTGCATGTGCATCGCTGTGGAGTCGCCGAGGAATATGCGGCGACATTCATTTAGCGAATCGGAGCAGTGCAGCGCCCAGCACTGCTGCCAGGCTGGCCAGGCTGGGATTAAGGTTAGGGGTGCATTCCACTGCCAGGTACTTCTTCGACCACCTCATCCTCTTGGCGAATACCGACGAGGTGCATTCACTGCATCCCCCGGACACCTACGACGAGCAAAAGCAAGCGGACTGCTGTCGACTCTCGAGACTTTACTTTTGGATGAGCTTGTCCAGGTCCTGATCGGACTGGCTATCTCTCTCATCTGCTAGATCGCCTCTAGCTCCCTCCGACAACCCACCCTAAACCATCATACCTCCTACCTCAAGCATCTCCCGACACCATGGCGGTCAATCGGATTCGTGGGGCCTTTGCTGTCCCGAGGAAGGGAGAGACCTTTGAGCTGCGGGCAGGCCTTGTCTCTCAATATGCCTACGAGCGCAAGGAATCCATCCAGAAGACGATTATGGCGATGACGTTGGGCAAGGACGTGTCTGCTTTGTTCCCCGACGTCCTGAAGAACATCGCGACAGGCGACCTGGACCAGAAGAAGCTGGTTTACTTATACTTGATGTAAGTCTGCAGTCGAAACCGATCCACTTCCTGGACGTAGCGTCCAGAGCGACTACTGACAGCGCGCAACAGGAACTACGCGAAATCGCATCCAGATCTCTGTATTCTTGCCGTCAATACTTTCGTACAAGATTCCGAAGACCCAAATCCCCTCATCCGTGCGTTAGCGATCCGAACGATGGGTTGTATCAGAGTCGACAAGATGGTGGATTATATGGAAGAGCCGCTGCGGAAGACACTACGAGACGAGTCGCCATATGTTCGCAAGACGGCTGCTATTTGTGTCGCCAAGCTGTTCGATCTTAACCCGTCGATGTGCATAGAGAACGGCTTCCTGGAGTCGCTGCAGGAGTTGATTGGAGACCCGAATCCTATGGTTGTCGCAAATTCGGTCCAGGCACTTTCAGAGATCACCGAAACCGCACCAGAGACTCGTGCGCTTGTAGTTACACCTGCCACACTGAAGAAGCTGTTGATGGCTCTCAACGAGTGCACAGAATGGGGTCGCGTCACTATCCTGACCACATTGGCCGACTATCCTGCTGCGGATACCAAGGAGTCTGAGCACATTTGTGAAAGAGTTGCGCCGCAGTTCCAACACGTCAACCCCAGTGTGGTTTTGGCCGCCGTCAAGGTGGTCTTCATTCACATGAAGGCAGTCAGCCCGGAGCTGGTGCGATCATACCTCAAGAAGATGGCGCCGCCCCTTGTCACGCTTGTGGCTTCCGCCCCTGAGGTGCAGTACGTTGCTCTTCGCAACATTGACCTCCTCCTGCAGGCCAAGCCCGATATTCTTAGCAAAGAGTTGCGTGTCTTCTTCTGCAAATACAACGATCCTCCCTACGTCAAACTTCAGAAGCTCGAGATCATGGTTCGGATAGCCAACGAGAAGAACTTTGACCAGCTCCTAGCAGAATTGAAAGAATACGCCTTGGAGGTCGATATGGACTTTGTCAAGCGCGCCGTCAAGGCCATTGGCCAAGTTGCGATCAAGCTTGAGAGCGCCAGTCAAAAGTGCGTCAACGCATTGTTGGACTTGATTGCCACCAAGGTCAACTACGTTGTGCAGGAGGTTGTGGTGGTTATCAAGGACATTCTCCGCAAATACCCTGGTTACGAGGGCGTCATCCCCACGCTCTGCAAATATATTGACGAGCTGGATGAGCCAACGGCAAGAGGATCGCTGATTTGGATTGTGGGAGAGTACGCTGAGAAGATCAACAACGCCGACGACATTCTGGAAAGTTTCGTGGAGGGTTTCATGGAGGAGTTCACACAGGTTTGTCGATTCATTCCAGATATTCAAGCACACGGCTAACGTTCAGCAGACTCAACTCCAGATCCTGACTGCTGTGGTCAAGCTCTTCCTCAAGAAGCCCGGTAGCAACCAGGGACTGGTCCAAAAGGTGCTTCAGCAGGCTACAACAGACAACGACAACCCAGACATCAGAGACAGAGCTTACGTCTATTGGCGTCTATTGTCAGGCGATTTGGATGTCGCCAAGAATATTGTTCTGTCTCAGAAGCCCGCCATTACCACAACAATGACCAGCCTTCCCCCTGCTCTCCTCGAGCAACTTCTCGCAGAGCTTTCTACTCTTGCGTCGGTGTACCACAAGCCACCAGAATCATTCGTCGGCAAGGGTCGCTATGGTGCAGACGAGATCCAGCGCGCGGCCATCCGCGAACAACGGCAAGAGGCGGCTGAAAACCCCATTGCTGCGTCAGTGGCAGCTGTGGCCAACGGCAACGCCAACTCACAAAACAATATCGAAAACCTTCTCGATATCGACTTTGACGGTGCTGCCCCCGCATCAGCCGAGCAGCAGAGCAACATCAACACCCCAGATAGAGTAGCCAGCCCCGCGGGAGGTGGTAATTCGAGTGCCATGGCTGATATGATGGGTTTGTTTGACGCTCCTCCGCCGCAGCAACAGCAGGCGGCCAACCCGATGAGCCCCGGAGCAGGTGGTGGCGGCATGAATGACATGATGAACGGCTTCGCTGGGCTCGACTTTGGCAACACAGGGTCCGGGCAGCCCTTACCGGCGGGGATGCAATTACACCAGCCTGCACAGCCTCAAAGTGGCGAAGGAAACGGGAAGAAGACGAATGAGGACTTGCTTGGGTTGTTCTAGATCTCTTGCTGATGGAGCTGGTTCATTGGGGAGTCCAGGCATGCTGTTAGGAGTAGGTTGATAAATGACAAAGAACGAAGCCACGAAAAGCCTGCTTCTGCTTTTCTGCTTTCCGCGAAAAACTCATGTATATACTCGAAAAGGGGGGTGTCTAGACCAAACACCTATCGCGCCGTCCTCCCAAGATGCCTCCATGTTCTTTTGGTGATCTCATGCGTGGCGTCTCTTTTCCTGCCTTGTATAGGGACGTATCGCCCTGTGTATATGTTCATGTCGCCCTAAGCGGCCCAGTCATCTCCGTGTTCGGCGCGAAGTGTCGACTGGTGATGCATAATGCTATCCTCTCTCCAACCGGGGCAGGCCAGTCCGGTCTAGTCCAGTCCCAATTCCGGTGCGATACGGTGCGGTGTGTCTGTCCGAATTCTCTTCGTTTTTTTTTTCTCACTGCGCAACACCCTCCACCCTGCCGCCGACAGTCCCGTCCATCGGCGGGCCGTCGCTGCCTCCGCCGGCGGCAGCCCTATCGCGCTCCCACTCGGCGGGTGTCTGGCACTTTGCGCTCCAGGCGTGGATCTGAGCGATCTCGTCCTTGAGGGCGGCGTTGACGAGGCGGTGGCGCTTGAGGGAGGTTTGCTTCTCGAAGGCGGGGGAGACGATTGTCGAGGTGAAGGCTTGACCGCAGCCGCCTGTTTCATAGAATGATTTAATTAGGAGGAGGCCTAGAATGTCGCATAATGACGGATTTGCATGGGAGAGGTAAGGTGTGCTGGGCGTGACGGATGGTGATGCGCAGGCGAGTACTTTGATTTCTAACATGGCGGGGCATGACGTGGGGGGTTTTCGGTTGAAGGAGTGCATGCTGGCAACGAGCGAGACGTACCTGACATATCCGAGATCTCGACGTGGATTGCCTGCAGACGCTCAGTGAGGGCCTGCTTTAGCGAGGCCTCTGTTATTTGATTTGCCATCTTGTATGTGATTGTGAGGGTATCTGGTGGTTTCGAAAAGAGCGACGATCGGGTTCCGGGGGGTGGTGGCAGCTTTGGGCTGGGAGATTGTCGAAAATCGGAGGTGCTTGGTTCTGCGGTGGGTTTCCTATAGTGGGCGGCGTGGCTTGGGTCGGCGATTAGATTGATTAGATGGTGGGGTTCTTTTCAAAGTGTCTGGCGGAGTGGTTCCGTCATTGTCATTGGGGGTCTAAGGTAAGTTTGGTGGCTTCCATTTTGGTGACCTTGTTGGAGATGCTGCCCTTTCTTATGGATTGCTTTACTGCCATGGCCCTTTGATGTGAGCGCGTTAAACTTGGAGTGCCCTGTTTATTTTGTTTGATCTCATAGATTCTTTTGCATTCTTTCCGTGTGAAGCAAAGCGTCGTCTGACGTTCACTACTGTCTTAAGCATTCAGATGAATGAGATGGAGATGGTTTCACCACAGGCAAAGCAAGACCTCTACTGATATAAAATACTTCAACACATTAATCGTTGGATTGAGCTTTGAACCACCCACCATGAGCAAGTCCTCATGCTCACGTCCACGGGTCATTCACTCTTGTGGCTTTTACTTCAACCTCACACCATGATGGGATACGACAAAGAATACTGGGTTTATCAGTAGAGACTGCCATCGTAGGACCAAACGCCTGGAGTCGATCAGCCCGCTGCATGCTGCTCGTATTCGTAAACGAACATTTTCAGAGGCGTTATACATAGACAAGAACGGGTGACTAGTCCATGCGCCCCAGGATTATGCCGACTTGTCCTGTCCACAAGTTCAAACCGGTTCAGTCAGACAGATATAGCCATTAGCGTTAGTGACTATTATCGCCTCTATCACGATGTACACCATCTGACAGGCCTAAGCGTGCGATTTCAGCGCTCGGATTTGACGAGGAATAGAGTATTTAAAGGCAAAGTTGTGTTGGAGTAATCTCCTATGGGAGACATGAGAAGATGCCATAGCTGGGGGTACCTCTGTGAGGTCAAAGCCTTCTCTTCTCTGAAGCTACTTTGAATAGGTCATTATTCACGATATTTAATCTTCAGTGAGGACCACGGACAGATAGACTACTTTACGACTAGAAATCTACCTTCTGGGTACCAACAGCAGTTTGCGATTTGGATTAAGGAATTAGTACCAGTTTCAAAATTCTATTCATATCATAGACATTGAATTTCAACCCTTAGAGAAAGAAGGGACTTTAATCGACAATACATCACTCAGATGCATCATAAACATGCAAAAAGAGCAAAAGGAGTAATTCCGAAACCGAGAATCGAACTCGGGGCTATGCCTAACCTTTCACTGGAGATGAGAGGGCATCATGTTGGCCACTACACCATATCGGATTGGTGGTTGTTGACAAAAGGGCGAAGACTTTGCAACAAGTACCGTAGGTGGGTTGGCGGTCTCCGCTTTCGGGTACTTACTCGCTCGTTCACCATGCGCGTACCCATCCGAGGCAGTCAGCCGCTGCATGCGAGCTCGTGGTAGACGTGATCACTCGGCACGACATGACATCTTGAAGATGAGCCTTGTTCGAGTTGATGTTGAAAAACGGGTTTCTCTCAATGTTGATGAAAGAAAGATATAAAGTGGGAGAGGTTTGGTTGATGACACGGAGGTCAACGTCGAAGCAACCAGGAAGGCACAGCTTGGAGGGAAATGGGGGTATGTGCCATTGCGGGGCTTATGTCATTCAGCCAGTACGCCAATGACAGAAGTCATCTTCGTATGCATTTAATGGATATTTGAATGAAGCTCGAGCTCTGCAACCCCTCTACAACATTACCTCATACCACAACACCCAAATTCAAGGCTTAGAATATAGGAACTCGAGCTTGCTGCATGCCAACTGATTTCGAAAGAAGCAAAAGTCTGTTTGATCCTTCTATATCTGGACTCTACGAGAGAAGCTATGCTCACTGGTTTCAGGACATCCATCCAGTCAATGAGCTCCAAGCTTGCTAGGGCATCAGCGCATATAAGTCAACAGTCTTGCGGGTCCACAGCTTCACTTCGGCTTCAACCCTTGAATATCTTCACGAAAATCCACAACTCTACATCTTACTTCTCGACCGCCTCTCGCCTTTATCGGACTCATCTTGCTACACTAAATCTCGAAATGGCGGCCAGCAACAAGTACTCCTCTTCAGGCTTCACCGCCCAAGTGGTGGCTGCCATGCGCAAGCAGTACGTCTCACCATCACCTCTCAGCCAAACACAGACCAATTATAACTAAATCATCTCACACAGCTACCCTGAAGAGATTGCCGACAGGAGATGGGACAATGTCGGTCTTCTCCTGGACAACATCGTGACCACCACAACCGCCACGCCCAAAAGCCCAGTCGTCCTACTTACCAACGACCTCACCTACACCGTCGCCGAAGAGGCAGTCCAGAAGAAGGCCAGCGTCATCGTGAGCTATCGTGAGTCTCACCCCAAACTAAGTTATAACCTCCATCATCTGACAACCTCCCCAGACCCCTTCATCTTCTCCGGCCTAAAGTCCATCACAATAAAGGACCCCCAGCAAGCAACCCTCCTACTCCTCGCCTCCAACGGCATCGCAGTCTACTGCCCCCACACCGCCGTCGACGCCGCCCCCAACGGTCTTAACACCTGGCTAGGCGACATCGTCTCGGGCGGGCCCGCCTCCTCCTCGACCGCGGCCCCGTCAGACCGCACCGTCATTACCCCTCACGCCTCGCCCCCTGCCGGCTTTGAGGGCTCCGGCTACGGCCTCTTGTGCACCTTCCGCCAGCCCGAGTCCCTCGCCGACATCATCCGGCGCGTGGCCTCTCGCGTAGGCATGGGCCGCGTCATGGTCGCCTCGCCGGACCCGTCGGCCATCTCGACGGCGCGCGTGGGCGCCGTGGCCGTGTGCGCGGGCAGCGGGTGGGACGTTGTGAAAAGCGCGGCTGCGGACGTGGTTGTTACGGGCGAGATGAGCCATCATAATGCGCTCAAGGCCGTGCAAGAGGGCAAGACGGTTGTTACTGTGTTCCACAGCAACTCGGAGAGGGGGTACCTGACCGAGGTGATGAAGCCCCTGCTGGAGGGAGAGCTGAAGCAGCAGGAGCATGATGTGCAGGTCCTCGTCAGCACGGCTGATCGCGATCCGTTTGATATTGTGGATGTTTCCGAGCTGTAAGTCCATGTGTGGCTGAACATTGGAGGGGAAAAGCGATGTTTTCAAATATTTAGAAGAGAATTGAGCTCACACTTGGGGCCAAAGACAAGCTCGAAGAAGTCATCTGTAGATGGCTGACGACGATGCCTTCCTTTCGAACGATTCAAGTCCCAGAGTCTACACTTTTACCACGGCCGAGACTTCTCTAAGCGTCCAACATGAGAGTGAGTTTACTACATCTGCGCGAATGATAATTTGACTTGGTCCGTAAGGATGCTGTTACATGGCGCAAACATGTAAAATCTGTGAATTTTGTCCAATACTATTCGACGGATCTGTCTCTTTTGCTCCAAAACACAAAAGTTGCGCCAAGCCCAAACACCAAATAACTCCATCGCTATGCCCGCAAATCCCCAAAACACAACAACAACAAGAACAAGGGATCTCAGGATCTCACGCTATCCTTCGAAGCCCTCACACTGCTCTCCCCAGAACCACCAACCCTCAGGGCCGCGTCCCCCTCTTCCAGACACTCGGCAACATCCTTCCCGCCGACGCCCTTCTCCTTCCACACCTCCAGCAGCCGCCGCGGCATCTCCCACGACCGCCTCGCCTCCTCGACCTTGCCCTCCTTCACCAGCCTCCGCAGCTTCTCAGGTGTCCCCAACACCTCCCTCGCGAGTTCCCGCGTCCTCCTCCGCGTCGCCGTCGCCGCCTCGTCCTCGCGCTCCTTTGATGCCGGCGGCGCGACCGTCTTGCGCAGCGCCTCGCGGATCGAGCTCGCCTGGGCGTAGATGCCCGCGATCGCGGGGTCTAGGGTCGAGGCCATGGGGTTCAGGGGGTCCATATTCGCACGCATCTATTTTCAAATATCCCCAAGGGTTCCTTTTAGTTCTTATTGTTCTTTCTGATCATTTCTTGTCTGTATTCCGCTTGGGGATTTGACTCTCTCTGGGATTCTTGAAATAGCCAAAGATTTAAAATGAGACTCTGTTCTCTGCTTACCTTGCGAATCGTCTCCGTCGCGGATATAAGCTTGGAGTAATTATCGTACACCAGTGCCTTCTTCTCCGCGTCCAGCGCCCGGATCTCGCCCAGCACGCGGGTATACACCCTCAACAAATCGTCGAGCGTGTTCTCCGCCAGCGCCTTGCGCACGTAGGCCTCGGCGTCAAAAGTCGGGCTGTCGAGCTCGCTGGGCGGGACCTCGGAGTGCTCCGCGTGGCGTTCGTGGTCTTCTGTGATTTCTAGCGAGGGGGGCGTTCCGTTCCCGCCGCCAGCCGCGGCGGCCTTTTTGAGGTTGTAGTACTCGCGGAGGGCGGCTCGGTTCGCGCGCTTCGAGGGTCCTCCCGCTGGCGCCGCCGCCGCGCCGGCCCCGTTGCCAAAAGTTGCGGAGGAGCCTGGGTTCGGAGAGCTTGTGAGAGAGCGAGGGGTGTCGAGGGAGGGTCGGGTTGAGGATGTCGGGGTGTGTGGTTGTGCTGAGACGCGGCGGGTGAGGGCTGGCGGTTCGCGGGGGGATGCGATTGTGGACATCTTGGTTGGACTAGACGGTCTTGCGTAAGAAGCCCTCTTTCAATCGTTGCAAAATGAAGAAACACGGGAAGCCAATTGGGGGTTTGGTCGGAGGTGTTTTGTTCTAGGTGTTTGCGTAGAGTTGGACGGTGGTAACAGATCGAAGGAAGCGAGGCTGACCTTGAGAGGACGACGGGGATGCAGGCGATAGGCCGGCGGCAGAGCTCCTGTGGGGTGCGGGTGCGGCCCCTGAACTTCAGCTGCACAGCGAGGCTGCGCTAATTGGCACATGCTAAACGTCCAGGATCTGCAGTGGTGGTGCGCGCCCAGGGTTTTAGAGATTTTGGGGTAGCTTACCCCACTGAAGCTTTATTCTTCCTCCATCTCTAACCTAAACTCATTCGAAGCAAACAACAAACTTCCTTCTCGTCAACCCAGGATGTAGACAACCACCAACCACGAAGGGAAAAAACATGGACTACACAACCAAAATACGCTCCGCCCTCCAGAACCAATCCTTCCCGACCCCCTCCCTTCCCTGGACGACAAGCCTGACTTCGCGCGTCCCGACCCCGCCACTCCCCTCACTCATCGCGACCGCCAAAGCCCGTCTCCTCGCCTCGGACCTCACGACGCCGGGCCTCCTCGATTCCTCCGCCACCGTGAGCCTTCCCACCCCGAATATCGAGCTGCCTGAGTCGATTCTGCAGCGCGACGTTCCTTGCCAGGTCCTCGACGTCGAGAACCTGAGCCTTTCGCGCTGGGAACAGGTCGAGGAGCTCGAGGCCGTCGCGAGGGGGAGCAGACCACGGGGCGGAGGGTTGTGAGGCTTGCTGCTGCGGCTGAGGAGCCCGAGTATGATAATATCGACGAGGGCAGCGGCGGCGGCGGTGGTGTTGGGGCTGGCAGTAGAGCCACGCAACCACAACAGCAGCAGCAACAACAGCAGCAGCAACAACAGCAGCGACGGAACGCCACGCACCGGCTGGTTTTGCAAGACTTTAAGGGCAACAAGATGTATGCGCTCGAGCTGAGAAGGATAGACAAGATTGGGATCGGGAGCACGAATATCGGCGAAAAGATGGTGCTGAAAAAGGGACGGTCGTGGCGAGGGGTACTGTGTTACTGGAGCCGGAGAAGTGCGTGATGCTTGGGGGTAAGGTCGATGCGTGGCAGAAGGCCTGGGTCGAGGGGCGGATGGCAAGGTTGAAGGAGGCTGTCGAAGCGGAAAGGTGAAGTTGTGCGGTTTGAGGAAAATGGGATTAGTTGGTGTGGCATCACTTAGAGTTTGGTATTGATACCCCCTTGCTTTTTTTATTCATGGAAAACCAGGCAGCACAAATTTACCTTTGATTCTGATTTTAATTCGTAGGCTAGCTTGCAGCAGGCTATGCTAGGTCTCGTGAAGAGCTGCTCTCTGATCCATACTTCGTCAACATTGACCCTGTATGTGAACCCTTCACCTATCCTATTCAGTTCAACAGCGACAATGGTGATACCAGGACCTCTGTTCGCCTAATTGCCATACACAGCCTCCCGCAGAGAGCTCCAACCATCAGGCTTCCAAGGAGCCAAGAAAATGGCCGTCTGCGCATCCGCCGCGACTCCCGTCCCAGCATACGCCTTTGCTAAACTCTCCGCCTCAAGCGTACCTCTCGGCGGCGCTCCCTTCTTAGCCACCGTCAACGCCATCGCGGCAGCATGCTGCTCCCCGCTAAACTCGGCCAGATTTGACCAACCGTGAGGCAAGTGCGGGTACAGCATGATATCCGTCTGGATCTGCGTCATGACGTCCTCCTCCGTGCTCGTATCCCCAAGTTTTGCAATGGCGTTGAGCACCTCGCCAATCTGCGATTGCTCCGCGTCCCCGACGTTGTGACTGGTCCGCAGCCCCTGCAGCTCCGACACGACGGCCTCGACTGACTCCTCGTCGTTGTCGAGGATGGCGATGACGCCGAGCAGAAGGACGGACTGGACGTGGTCGGGTCGCTTCTCAATGACCTCGAACAGCGCGCCGCGAGCCTTTTCGCGGGACTCTTCGACGCCCATGGCCCAGAGCACCTGTGCGAGGAGGCAGACGGCGTCCGGGTTGTTATCAGACTCCTCGAGCGCCGACTCGAAGCACAGGAGAGCCTCGTTGACGTCCTCGCTGTAGTACTGCGCCAGTCCGACAGTCAAGTGCGCCGAGAGACGCGCCTTCTTGCGCTCTTCCCTGCTCAGCTCGTTGTCGGACTCGTCGGCGCTCAGTTGAATGGCCATCTCGCCGCACTCGATGGCCTGCTCGAACGCGCCCGCGGCGAGGTAGGACCTCGCTAGATCGGTCTTGGCCAGCGCGAAGTGCGCGAGGGACTGCGGAGACTCGGTGACCTCGTAGTCGGACTCGAGGATGCCGCAGATCTTCTCCAGCGTCTCCACCGCCTTGCCCGTATCATGGGTCCGCTCCAGGAACATGGCCGATAGGTGTCCATACGCGAGGTCTTGCGGCTTCAGGCTGTTGAGCTGGCCGAGGGCGAAGATGGGCTGGATCAGGGAGGCGACGTTGGCGGACGTCGTGCCCAGGATGAAGTCGAACACAGCCACCGAGTACTGGCGTCTGGTGAGCACCGAGGACGCCTCGGCGATCTCCATGGCGTGCGTGAACAGGCCCCTGGCCTCCTTGACCTTTCCGTACAAGAGTGCCACGAAACCCTGGCCAAGCCATGCGTGCGCGTAGTCGGGATCGGTCGACTGTGCACGGTTGAAAGCTTCGTTCGCGAGCTGCACATCGTTCTGAAGAAGGGCGAGGGTGCCCAGGTTGGTCCAGGCTGCCGGGCTTCTCTCGTTCAGGTGTAAGCTGCGAACGAACGAGTGCTGCGAGACGGCCGGGTTGACCTCGCTCGTCACGACACCCAAAGAGTTCCAGAAATCCGAATTGCCGGCTTCCAGCTCAATGGCGCGCTTGAAGCACTTCATGGCCGTCTTCAAGTAGACGCTCGATTTCTTCCTGATGCTCGAGGGCAGGCAAATGTGAGCCCGGTGTTCGGCCCAGCCAAGGTTGTAGTATGCGACTGCTTGGGCATGCAAGTCGTTTACAGAGACTTGGATTGCCCGCTTATGACACAAGATGGTTGCGTGGATACATCTTGTCAGATCAACACCGAGTCTCTCGTCTTCAGAGAACAAGCCCTTTGCAGAAATGACGCCAGTTCCGACGTTATCGACGTCCGCAAAGAGGTCGTATGCCTCCTTGTCGCCGCTGTCGATGAGCGTCATGATTATATCTGCTGGGAAGTCGACCGCTCGGCTCTGTACCGCAGAAAAGACGGAACAAGCATCAGCAAGCGACTTCCAGAAATTGAACGTCTCAGCGACGCTAGCAGCGGCCTTTGACGCAAAGTCTATCGTGTCGATGGCGAGGTGCACCGCCTTGCCAAACAGACCCTTTTCTACACTGTCAAGAGCACTGTCGACCATGGTCTGTATGAGGGCAATGGCAACTCCATCCTCGTCAGGGCGGCCCTCGATGACATCCTGGTAGAGAGCAATGGCCTCATCAAACTCAGCCAGCTCACGCTTGACATTAGCAAGCATGTACTTGGTGAACCAAGTGTCCCCCAGAGTCTCCGCAGGCGCAGTCTCCTCCAGCTTCTGGGCGTTGAGGATCGCCTTGGTGGCTGCAATGTACCGGCCAGAAGAGTAGTAGCTTTCACCCAGGCCAACCCATGAGTGGTAATCCTCTGGGTGGATTCTCAGTGCAGATTGGAAAGACACAATAGACTTGTGGAAATCCTGCTTGTTCAGCTCTGCCACACCAAGCGCGGAGAAGGGCCAGCTGATACCCTTCCTCTTGGAGCCCGGAGGCGGCTTGACCTTTCCAGAATCAACCACACGCTGCGCCACGAGCTCGACTCTGTCCCAGTCGCCCTCATCAGCAAAGGACTCGGCAAGACGCTTGGCGGCTTCGACCTCGGAAGCAGAAAGCTCTACAGCCTTCTGGAAGCAGCGTCTGGCTCTCTTCTTGTCTTTGGCGTAGTCGGCATAGTAGACACCGAGACTCGTGTAGGCTGGCGCAAAATTGAGGTTGTTCTTCAAGGCGTCCAAGAAGTACAAGTAAGCGCCAGTACGGCTCTTGCGGGCTGCCTTTGATGTGTCAATGTTCCAAATGCATGAACCCAGTCGGTATTGTGTCTGCGCGAGGAGTTCCTTTGAAGGCGTAGACATCTCCTCGATGAGGGGCAGCGAATCCTCCAGCTCAGCCTTTGCAGTTTCAAAGTCGCCCTTGAGCGCCTGAACCCAGGCAGACTCGGTCTTGACCCGTAGGTTGGAGGGATCTCTCTCCAGAGCGCGCCCAAAGAAGTCTATAGCGTCGTCGTAACCCTCCTCTTCTTCGTAGATGAGACCGACGCCAATCAAGGCTGGAGTAGACGACGGATCATGTGACAGAACCCCTTCAAACAGCGTCTTGGCCTCGGTGTGATGTCTAGGCGACTGGAAGAACACCAAACCTGTTGCTAGGTACAAAGAGAAGGCATCGTGGGTGTTCTGGAACGGCATGCCGGTCTTGTTTCTCTCCGTTTTGATGTGTCCCATCGACTTGCGCATCAGTTCCACCGTCGTTTCGTATTCCTCCAAATGCTGGTAGTACTCTCCCATCAGCCGGTGAGCGAATAGTGAATTGGACGTAGTGATGCCCTCAGTCATCATCAGGATTCTATCCTGTTCTGTGAGCGGGACCATGGAAACTCCGCCTCCCTCGTCGTCCTCGCTCTCTTCCTCGGTTTCCTCTGCTTCGAGCGCTGCCGGTGTCGGCTTGGGGAAAGGAGAGATGCTACTCGTAAGAAAGCCGGTGATGACTTTGTAGAGATCGGTCTCGGGGAAGAATGAGCAATAGTCTCTCAGCATATTGACGTCCCATTCCTTGATCTCCTTTGCGTCCTTGTAGTCAATGGCAATCTCCCAGGCAAGTCGGAAGGGGTGCTTGATGATGACCATGTCAAGCGCCAGTTTCAGGACAGCTTGAAGAGCCTGGCCCTTTTCCGGGCCGTGTGGCGCGACCAGGAGACGGTCGTAGCAGTACTGGAGAAGTTTCTCTTCATACTTTCGTCGGAGATCGTCGTCATTCGTCCAGTTGATCAGCTGGTGGTAGACGAACTCGAGCTTGCTCTGAGCTATGACTTCACGCTTGACCTCGAGAGTGACCTCAGTCAGGCGCGCGCCGATCCTTGTCCGTCGTTCGCCAATAAGCGTATTTATGCGCTTCTTCTCGTCTGTCTCAATCATCTGCGCCATCGTCTCGTAGGTTTTGGCCGGGTGCGGGACGCGACCCTCTAGAGCAGGGTAAATCGGACTCCCGGGCAAGATTACACTGAGAGCCTCGATGTATTGCGAAGTATCCCCTTGAGATCTCGCAAAGTCAATGAACTTATCAATGACATCTTGGCACTTGTACATGTCTTCTGCATCTCGGTAAATCTCAGCCAGGCTGATGGCAGCTTGCTGGTAGGCGGCTAAGCGTTTGCGGTCCTGCTTCTCGTAGAGCTTGATGAGACCTTGCCACGCCTGGCTGTCCTTTGGTCGTAGTGAAGCCGCAGACTTGTAAGCCTTCTCTGCGTCATCGACGCGGCTCTTCTTGTCGAGAGCAAAAGCGAGGAAGATGGTCCTGCGAGCAGTGTCAGCAGCTGCCTTTGGTGTAGAGACGCAGGAAATTCAATGAGTCCTTACGCTTGGTAGTTCTTTGGCTCTCGTTCAAGAAAGTCAGTTGCCTTCTGAATAGCATCATCCCATTTTTGCTGCTTCACAGAATCGCCAATGGCCTTCAGTACAGCCTTGGCCCCGGACATCGTGGCTAATGACAGATGTCGTGAATCATGAACGTGAGATATTCTTCCAAAGGTGGAGCATCACCGTGGTGCTGGAAGGCTGGGAGTGAGAGGAAGAAAGAAAGTAAAGGAAAATAAGAGGCCGAGAACAGAGATGCGGGATTTACAGTTTTAATCCAGGCCTGGTGTGTGTTGGCGGATGAAGTGAGATTCTCGTCGGTGCCTTCTCTTGCAGCAGACCCTCGCATGAGAGGCTCAGTGAGGCATGAGCTGGTGATGAGCGCTACAGAGGGCAGTGCCCCACCATCGACACCTCCCTTATTACATCATGCCCCGCTTTGAGCATAGCAGCTCCCCAGGCTTTGCATCACGACTGCCCGATAAGATAAGGAATTCCAATCCACCTCCGGTCACATTAATAGGTGCCAAAGGTAAGGTACCTTACCCAAACGTAGGTACCATATGCAAGGGCTTTTAACCGCGACTGACAGCAGCGGATTATAGTAGTCAATGGAATCAGAATAATCATAGTCAGAAACTTCAAGC